GGATGTCATGCTTGGTAGGGTGGAGGGTCAATGAAAGAGGCGGAGGCCTTCAACGAGATGGATTGACACGGTGGCTGCGATGATGGGCTCAAGTATAGCAGGGATTGTGGGGCTGGCGTGGGATTGGGCAGTGTTTGTTCTGCTGTGCATGGGGTCGCTATGAGTCAGAAGTGCAGACTTGACGGCACTTAACAATAACAACAACACAAATTGGTGACAATATTTCAGTTATTTCTTATGTAGTTCTTGATTTAATGGACATATTTTTATAATCTTAAGTAAAGTAATAGAAATACAAAATAAAACCTACTGCCATTGAGTCAGTTGTGACTCATAGAGACTCCCAGTGGGTTTCCAAGGTGGTAAATCTTTACTGAAGTAGATTGCCCAGTCTTCCTTCCACTGAGTGGCTGGTGGTTTGAACTACCAACTTTCCGGTTAACAGAAATGCCTTAGGCACTATGCCACCAGAGCTCCTTAGTAGAAATAAAGAAGTCTGAAAAATAGCTTTTACATTTCAGAAGTAAAAGTATATGCCACGTGTACTTTTTTAGGAAGAATAATTTCATGGATTCAAGTATTTCCTATGTCTTAGGTTTCTTAATATTTTCTTCTGTGTGTGTACGATGTATTTAATCTTCTCTGCTTGACCACAATAAAACTTAGTGTTTTTCCTGTAGACCTTTTGGTACTGGAACAAGATGCTGTCTTTGGCCTGGAATCTCTTCTGGTACTTTGTAGTCAAGATGACAGTCCAGGTGCTCAAGCCACTTTAAAGGTGAAACCATCACTTATTTTAATGTAATGCCTATTTTCATTGCCTAACCTAAGAGTCACCAAACTTTCCGTGAAGGGTCAGATAGCAGATATTTTAAGTTTTGTAGGCCATCTGCTCTGTCTCACACCTATGTGAGTCTACCATTGTAGAACAGAAACAGCCACAGACAATATGTTGTTGTTGTTTTTTTAAGGAAGAAAAAAAAGGATGTGTTTGTGTTCCAATAAAACTTTATTTACAGAAAAAATATGGTGGCTAGATTTGGCCTATGGTCAATATTATGCTGACTGCTGTCCAGTACAAACATTTGCTCTTGATCTCTTTCAAAACTCGCCCTTTGGCTTAGTGGTATTCCAGATAATAAGCAAAGTGAAAATCTGACCTTTGGCACATTTTGCCATCAACGGTATTTCATAAATTATAAGAGATTCATAAGATTTAGTCCTAGACAGTATACAATATAAAGCAAAGTGAAATAAGCAGAACTCTTACATTCTTAAAAGTTATAATCTCAGGTAACTGTAATAAGAACACAAAAATACCAGTGAGATCTTAAAATTTGCACGCAGCCATCTAGATGCAGTAATGGGTCTCTCCTCGTCCAGAGCAAAATAGAATGAAGAAAACCAAAGACACATGGAAACAATTAGTCGAAGGGACTGGTAGACCATGTGATCCTCAGCTTGTACGACCACGAGACCAGAAAAACTAGGTGGTGCCTGGCTATCCCTGTCAACCACTCAGAGGGGATCTGTATAGGAAATCCTGGATAGAGTGGGAGAACAATGTGGAGCAAAACTCAAAATCCTTAAAATTTTAAAACCATAAAAAGACTAGGTTTGCTGGTTTGATAGAGCCTGGTGAAGTGTCCCTAGCTACCTTTTAGGTCTAGAATTAAACCCATTCCTGTGACTTCCAAATAATAGGCATATGGGCTGAACGTTTACATCAAGTTGATACACTCCTTGCAGAGACCAATCATGGGAAAACAGAAGCGCAGTGTATGCACAGGGAGATAGCTCAGGAGGAGCATAGGAGGGAAGGACACAGGGAATAGGTAACTATGGGGGGAAAGTGGAAAGAGAGCTGTTACATTGTGGGAAATTGCAGTCAATGTCATGAGACAAGATGTACATAAATTGCTGTATGGAAAATGAATTTGCTCTGTAAACTTTCACCTAAATCACAATTTAAAAAAAAAAAAAAAAGCCGGAGAAATGACTCAAGCCAAACTCATAAATGTGTAAGTGTTTTTTAATTACCCAACCATAGAGTCCCTAGTTTATAAGCCAAGGAAAGGATTAATATAAAGAATTTTCACCTTCACTTAATTATAGGAATCATCTTAGAGATGGTTAAGATTTTTAAAATGTGAAATGAGACTTGTTAATGGAGGGAAACGTAAAATATAATCTGTGACAGTGCAAAGTTAATAAAGCAAATTGAATAGAAGTAAAAGGCTGTTAAATAGACATTGGAGAATATAAGAGCTTTAGACTGTGTCAGGTAGGGGTGGTTTGAAGGAAGTCTTGACTCATTTCAGCCTATTAAAAGGAATGATGTGATAGTGATGAGTAATAAAGATAATCATGCCATTATATGAAAACTGATAAAGGGTAGGGAAGGAAGTAAGCAAGTGATTAATCTCCCAGAGAATGCCCTTGGAACCACAATACATTTATTTAAAACTTTTTTGAAAAAAGCTGAAATGAATCTTTCCCCCATTATAAGTGCTAATAAAACACAAGACCCAGCACAGTGCGACATACTTAGATGATCAAGTAAGATCCCTGCTTTAGAGGAGCTTCCTGTCTAAAGTACAGTAGAGTCCCTTTATTTCAGAATGCCACTATGAACAAAAGTTGAAAGGACAGAGTTTAGAGTGATAGTTGTCAATGAAAGGTACTAAGGAAAACTTCAGTAAAAAAGATACTATATGGACCATTATTATAAAAGGCATGAAAGCATAAATATACCTGTTATATCTGAAGAAAGATGAGTAGCTGACTGGCTAGATAAAATAATAACGATGACATTGGAAAAGCATCTTGCAGCTTAGCTATGGAGCCTATCAGATAACCATGCTAAGGAACATGGACTCAGTCCTGTAGGTAGGGAAGAGTTATTAAAATTTTTAAGTTATGGACTCTAACTTTAGCAGCAATAATTATTGTTATTTAAGTGTCTGTTCTGTGCCACATGTTCTTGCAGGCTTGTATATGCATTTATTTCAGTCTTTACAACAAATCTACAATAAATCTACTCCTATCTTAAGTCTCAGGGAGGTGAAGTAATTTGCTCAGTGCAGTATAGCTAATAAGGGGTAGACTAAGACTCAGCTGTGGGTCAGGCAGACTCCAAAGTTCATTTTGTTCTTAACACCACACTGGAAGCAACATATGTGTAATGTGAACAATGAATCAATGAGACCGTCTTTTCAAAAGATTGTAATTAGGGAGAGGTTTATATATCATGATAGAGAAGATGGAAGGAAGTTGCAGAAGTAGACATGATTAGTCAGTTTACTAAGTAAAGGTGAGAAGACTTCTGAATTTCTAGTTTTGGTGACTAGGATAATAGTGATGCCATTAACTAACAAAAGCTCTAAAAATTTCAGTTAAGAAATAAGAGAGAAAATTGGAAACTTCTCCCTCACTTCAGTGTGCTTAGGAGTCTTAGAGTATCTTTTCAAAATATAAGCTCAATAACTCCAACATACCCTCCCTAAAAGGTTAATTCACTAACTGAGTTGAACAGAGCCCTGGAAACTATATTTGTATTAGTATCCTGGTGATGCTGGTATAAGTAGTTTAAAAACTACCTCCCCCCCCCTTTTAATTTATTTTTTAACTTTTTATTGTGATTTGGGTGAAAGGTTACAGAGCAAAGTAGTTTTGCATTCAATAATTCATACACATTTTGTTTTATGACATTGATTGTAATACTAACAATGTATCAGTACTCTTCCCACTTCCTTCTTGTGTTTCCTATTTCTGTTCTTCCTTTCCTGCCCCTTCCTGCCTTCTGAGTTTTGACCCTGGACAACTGTTCCCCTTTTGCTCTTGTATGGTTGATTTTTCTAAAGAGTCATACCTTCCCTGGTATTGTTGTTCATCTTATTGGCCTGTTGGTTGTTTGGCAGAAAGTTGATCCATGGGGGTGAATTCAGTTCCACGCTTGGAGAGTCTAGGGATTCTACCAGTCTCCTCTCAGACCAGTAAACCTGTTGTTTTTTTTTTTTTTTTTTTTTCTTTTTCCTGATTTTGAGTTTTGTTCCACATTTTTGTGTCACTCTGTTCAGGAATTTCATTTGTGATACCAGTCAGAGTGGTCGGTAGTGGTAGTCAGGAACCATCTCATTCTTCTGGACTCAGGGGCATGGAGGCTGAGGTTGCCATGGTCCAGTAGTTCTCTGGACTATTTGTGTATCTTTGATTTTCTTCACTCTTCTTTGCTCTAGATGGAGAGAGACCAATAGTTGCACCTTAGATAGCTGCTCACAAGCTTTAAAGATCCTAATCCCTTCTCACTAAATTAGGATTAGAACATTATCTTTATGCACTATGTTATGCCAGTTGACCTTGATGGACCCCTGAGACTATGGTCTTGAGTCTCCAGGCCCAGCAACTCATTCTCTCAAGGTGTTTGGTTATGGCTAAAATGTTACTTTGCCCCTGTATGCTCTAATAATGTATACATAGATATATTTGGAACACATACCAATACATATGTAGGAATATCCTCTGTTCAAACCTATAAGTGTAGAAAAACCACTTTAGAAAAGTAATGAAAATGGTGATCATTAGTTTGGAATCTATTGCCTTCATCAGCATTGGTCCTTAGGATTTTCTCCTCAAGATTCTTTTAATTTTTTTTATATAGCCTCATATTGAAATGAATGATTGATATTCACTAACTTGGTGTTACATTTGTTTTAGACAATGTATTTTGCAAATATTAATATGGGATTCAATACGTAAGTGTTCTTTATGAAGAAATTAAGGTGCCTTGACAGGACTTAGGAAGAAAATAGTTTTAGATCTCAACTACACTGTTATGTTATGCCTACAAAAGTGCTAACCCTTTATTTTTTCCTCAGTAACTGTATAAAGGTCTTCTTTAAAAAAAAAAAAAAAAAAAAGCTTCACTGAATGACTTCAGAGTGTAGAGAATTGACTTGTCCATTTTCTTTTTGATGTGCAGATTGCTCTTAACTGTATGGTGAAGCTGGCCAAGGGTAGGCCCCACCTTAGCCAGTCAGTGGTTGAGACCTTGTTGACTCAGTTGCACAGTGCTCAGGACACTGCCCGGATACTGCTGTGCCATTGCCTGGCAGCCATTGCCATGCAGCTGCCAGTGCTGGGTGATGGAATGCTTGGGGACCTCATGGAGCTCTACAAGGTGATTGGACGGTCTGCCACAGACAAGCAACAGGAACTTCTGGTAAAAAGCCACTGTTTGACCATACTGTGGATGGATAGGATCTGGTCTAGTTGAAATTACTTTAAGTAGAGTCAGTACCACTTAAACTGAACAAACAAATAATTATTTAAGACCGACATCTGCAAACAGTTTTTAATTATGAAACATAGTATTTCAAAATAGTGCTGAAGTAAAAATGGAATTTTGAAAAAACGATGAGCTTTTTGCTATCTTTAGCTTTAATTTAGAAATCCCAGTGTAGTTGAGATCTAAAACTATTTTCTTCCTAAGTCCTGTCAAGGCACCTTAATATAGCCAAAGCTTTCAATGTCAGGTTTTTGTTTGTTTATTACTAAGGTGCAAAAAGGACAAGGAGGCCACATGTTCTGACCTCCTCTAATCCCACAAGAGGAAGACAGAGTTACCAGCAGTAACCCAAGGCCTATTACTGCAAGGCCAGACATGCTGCCTCCCTCCAGCCCTTTCACCAACCGTTCCTCCCAAAGCACCCACCACCCCTCTCCTGGGTTCGATAATTTGCTGCAGTGGCCACACAGAACTCACAGATTATGGAGTTTAGTAGGGAAGCACCACAGGCTACAATTCAAGTTCCGGAAAAAAACGCTCAGTCTCTCTCCCAGCCCACCGTCCCTCAGCCAACAGTCTCTCACAGTCTCTTTCCCAGCAGTGCTGGTCCCTCAGTGTCTCACTCAGCAACGTGTGTCTCTTACGTCTCTTTCGCAGCAGCACGTGTCTCTTTCAGGGGTGTGTGTCTCTTTTGGCAGCACGTCTTCCTCCACCAGCAGTCTGAGAGAATTCTGCCTTCAGGAGGCCTCCTTTTGAGCCCGGAAGGGTATCAAACTAGCCAATCACAGCATCAGAACTCTAAGCACGTGAGAGAGAGTGGGAACCTCCCAGAACATTGTATTGTGCCACGCCCAACAGAAATACTCCAGGTGGATAGCTTCAGCAATCAGGAGCTCCTCAGTTGCTCATAGAAAATCCCACCTTGGAGTTTACAAAAACTTATGGGTAGAAAAGCCACACTAAGTAATTTACTACACTGCAAAAGGACAAAATGAAAATGAATTTTTTTCCTGTCTCACACAAAGCAAACGAATAATGAGCTAAGCCCTATTTTGTACTTCAGAAAATGTAAGTTAAAGACCTAATGATAACAATGAACATAAATTGGACCGAGACTGTTAGGACCCAACTTAGTTTCTATATATATGTCTAGAGTTGGGAAAGGTAGATGATTAAAAAGAGACAGATGCCATGGTAACTATAATAATGTTTAGTTGATAAAGTTATTGCATGCTGAGAATAGGCCACATTCTAAATAGGTATGAATTTTATATAAGCTACAATTTTTTCATTCCTTATTGTTTCAGTTCAACTGAATTTAGGGCTTAGGAAAAAGTATAGTAGAATGACTTGCTCAAGCCTATTTTATATTTAGTCCTCCAGAGGCATTGTGTAAAAAATTACCCTTATCTCATCATTTGCTGTCAAAAACAGTTGCCCTGACGATCAGATGTGAGTGGTCATAAGAGTGACATTACACAGTCATCACAAATGTGTGCAGACCTTTGTATGTATCAGCCTTGAAATATTAAGAGGCATTCAACCAAATTTATTTTTATTAGAATGGTATTTTGAGTGAATGTTTTTAATCCCTTTTTGTTAGTATTAATTTAAGACAATTTTAAAATATGGAACATAATAATTCAAAAAAAATGTAAGGAATTATAAAATGAAAACTGCATCCATCACTCAGCTTAAGGGAAGAAAGCAATCTTACCATGTGATTCAAGCTCCCTGTGTGTCTCCCTGTTATCATTCCCTCCTTCTCCCAGAGAAGAACTATCCTGAATTTGGTATTTGTCATTTTCATGTATGTTGTTAGACTTTTACTACATGTAATCTAAGGCATCCTGGTGGCACAATGGTTAAGCATTCAGCTGTTATCTGAAAGGTTGGTAGTCTGAACCCATCAGCTGCTCCATGGTAGAAAAGACCTGGTGATCTGCTCCCATAAAGATTACAGCCTAGGAAACCCTATGGGGCAGTTCTTCTCTGTCATACATGGTCACTTTGAGTCATAATTGATTCAGTGACATATAACAACAATATATATAATCTTTGGTATGTTGCCTGTTTTTGCCTATTTTGTGTGAATCATTTTGTTGTTGTGTGTATCTGATTCATGTCACTGCTGTATTGTATTTCACTATGATTATATCATTATTGCTTTCTCTGTGGGCATTGTTTCTAATTATTTACTACTGTGGACAGTGCTGTGAATCAGTGAAATAAATTCCTTAATGAGTTCAAAATGAAAAATTTATAAATGTCAGTGGAAAACAAATGTTTTTGTTTTGGATGGGCTTGAGTTAATTTTCTCCCTTTTGGATCGTTTATCTAGGACATTAGATAGAATTACATGGTTTTCTTGATTTTCTTCCTTTACTTCTTGTTTATATTAGGTGAGTTTGGCTACTGTGATTTTTGTAGCCAGTCAGAAAGCATTATCTGCTGAAGTAAAGGCAGTAATTAAGCAGCAGCTTGAAAGTGTCTCCAATGGATGGACTGTATACCGAATTGCCAGACAGGCGTCCAGAATGGTATGTATTAATTAACCTTGTAGGTGGTCTGGTTTGGTGGAAATGGCAGGTTGTAAACCTTAGATTGTGTGATTTTTTTTTTTTTTTTTAGTTCATAGTCAAAACTGAAAATAAAGATGATAGTCAAAACTGAAAATAAAGATGAGAGTACCTTTTAGTTAAGGGTTTGAAAGATGGTGAAGGAAAGGACCTAATTTTCAACATATGTTAATGGCATATATGTTACTGGTATATATCATTGTTACGGGCAGGTTACACAGGAATATCAAACATCTGAGTTCTTTCTGGCTGTAGATTGTCTGCTCCACTTTCATTTTGCCCTGTATCATCATCAGGAAGATTGCCTCTCACCCCTTGTTTTTGTCCTTCTTTCTCTGTACATCACATCTGTCTTTCCTTCCTTTCCCCAAACTTAACCATTCTTAAATTGAGACAGGAAAAGATTAAGCATCCTGTACCCCTCTTAACTGTATGGAAAACCTAACAAATTTTATTAATTTGGTTTCAGAGGAAATGTGGAGCTTGAGGAATACAAAAGTCCTTTGGAGAGAAGTCCAGAGAGCACAGTTTCAGAAGTGTTGCTCTAGGTGATTGAAGCACATGTTCTCGATTTTACAGTGTTTTTCAAATGGGGAGAGGAGTACTATTGATGGGAACTGCCCCAAACTTCCAAGCATTGCAGGACATTTAGCATCCCTCGTACCTGAGCATTAAATAGCAATCACACACACACACACACACACACACCACATACACAGCTACCCTCTCCCCTAGTCATTTCACTAATCAAATACCAATTTTATACATTTCCAGACACCCTGAGGCAGGGGCCAGTACTGCTTCTCTTGATAATTACTTATTGGAACTTACTAGAGTCTTCAACCACTCATTTGTCAGTTTGTCATAGTGTGGTAGTTTGTTTGTTGCTGTGATACTGGAAGCTATACTACTAGTATTTCAAGTAACAAAAAAGTCACAGTGGACAGATTTCGGTGAAGCTTCCAGACTAAGATAGACTAGGAAGGGAGACCTGGCAGTCTACCTCCAAAAAAATTGGCCAGTGAAAAACTTATGAATAGCTGTGGAACATTGTCTCAAATAGTGCCAGAAGCTGACCCCTTCAGGTTGGAAGGCACTCACAATGCTACTGGAGAAGGGCTGCCTCCTCAAAATAGAGTCAGCCTTAAAGAGGTGGGTGAAGTAAAGCTTTTGGGACATACATTTGCTGATATGGCATGACTTAAAATGAGAAGAAATAGCTGCAAGCATCCATTAATAATTGAAACGTAGAATGTACAAAGTATGAATCTAGGAAAAGTAGAAGTCATCAAAAATAAAATGGAACACCTGAAGATTGCTGTCCTAGGCATTACTGAGCTGAAATGGACTGGTATTGGTTATTTTGAATCTGAACTTGCTCTTGAAAAAATTATGAAGTAAAAGAGCTGAACAGAAGATTTCAATGGCCAGGTTGAGAAAACAAGGTAAAGTATTATCATGAAATGACCTGGAGTTAGAAAACCAAAAGGGAAAAACATGCTCAGCATTTCTCAAGCTGAAAGAACTGAAGAAAAAATTCAGGCCTCTAATTGCAATATTGAATGATTCTATGGGCAAAATAATGAATGATACGGGAAGAAGCATCAAAAGAAGATAGAATACACAGAGTCACTGTACCAAGAAGAATAGGTTGACATTCAACCATTTCAGGAGGTACCTGATCAAGAACCAATGGTACTGAAGTCCAAGCTGCACTGCAGGCATTGGCGAAAAACAAGTTTCCAGGAATTGGCCAAGTACCAATTGTTTCAAAAAACAGATGTAGTACTGGAAGTGCTCACTTGTTCATGCTAAGAAATTTGGCCAGCTGACTGGAAGAGATCCATATTTGTACCCATTCCAAATAATGGTGATGCAACAGAATGCAGAAATAACCTAACAGTATCATTAATAACACACACAAAAAAGTAAAATTTTACAGAAAGTAAAATTTTGTGAAAGATAATTCAAAAATGGTTACTGTAGTGTTTGACAGGGAACTGCCAGAAATTCAGGCTGGCTTCAGAAGAGGACGTGGAATGAGAGATAACATTGCTGATGTCAGATAGATCTTAACTAAAAGCAGAGAATACCAGAAAGATGTTTACCTGTGTTTTATTGACTATACAAAGGCATTTGACTATGGATCATAACAAATTATAGATAACATTGTGAAGAGTGGGAATTCCAAAACAGTTAATTGTGCTCATGAGAAACCTGTACGTAGACCAAGAGGCAGTCATTCAAACAAAACAAGAAGATACTGCGTGGTTTAAAATGAGGAAAGGTGTGCATCAGGGTTATATCCTTTCACCATACTTATTCAGTCTGTATGCTGAGAAGTTGGATTATATTGAAGAACATGCCATCAGGGTAGGAGGAAGATTTATTAACAACCTGCAGTATGCCGATGACATTACATTGCTTGCTGAAAGTGAAGGAGATTTGAAGCATTTACTGATAAAGATCAAAAACTATAGCCTTCAATATGGATTACACCTGAACATAAAACAAAAATCCTCACAACTGGAAAAATACGCAGCATTGTGATAAGTGTAGAAAAGATTGAAGTTGTCAAGGTTTTCATTTTACTTGGATCCATAATCAGTGCACCTGAAAGCAGCAGTCAAGAATTGAAATGATGTATTTGCATTGGGCATATCTGCTGCTAAAGACCTCTTTAAAGTGTTAAAAAAAACAGAGTGTTAAGAGGTGCATCTGACCCAAGCTATGGTATTTTCATTCTCTTTATAATGCATGAGAAAGCATATAAACAAGGAAGACCAAAGAAAAATGGATGCATTTGAATTCTGGTGTTGGTGAAGAATATTGAATATACTGTGGCCTGCCAGAAGAATGAACAAATTTGTCTTAGAAGAAGTACAGCCAGAATCCTCCTTTGAAGTGAGGATGGCAAAACTTCATCTCACGTATTTTGGACATGTTATCAAGTGGGAGCAGTCCCCGGAGAAAGACATCATACTTGGTAAAGTAGAGGGTCAGTGAAAAAGAGGAAGAACCTCAAAGAGTTAGACTGACAAAATAGCCACAGCAATGGGCTCAAACATAGCAATGATTTTGAGAATGACATAGGACCAGAGTGTTTTGTTCTCTTGTACATGAGGTTGCCATGAGTCAGAACTTACTCGATGGCATCTAACAGCAACAGCAGTATTAGACTCTCCCCAACTCCCACCCCAACTACACAACTCATCCAAAATGACATACGGTGAGTATTTATACTTTGTGTATTTTGGAGTAAAATTCTAGACTTTTGTTATAGTTAACTTACTTTCTCTTTAATTGGACATGTTTAATAAATTACTGTAGGCATTATGTTATATAAAAGTTCATCATATTTTCTCTGAGGAAATACTTAGACTGAGTCTCAAAAAGAATTATATAATATGAGGAATGGTTGCTAAAACTTTTCCAGGATTTGGGTTTTTCTTTTAGCTGCTGTATCAGCTATTTCCGGGCTGACCATGTGCCCCTTCTTTTCCTTTTTTTAGGGTAATCATGACATGGCTAGAGAGCTTTATCAGAGTTTGCTGACTCAAGTTGCCTCAGAACACTTCTACTTCTGGCTGAATAGTTTGAAAGAGTTCTCACATGCAGAACAGTGTCTCACTGGGTTGCAAGAGGAGAATTATAGTTCAGCACTTTCTTGCATTGCTGAGTCTTTAAAATTCTACCACAAAGGGATTGCTTCCTTAACAGTAAGTCCTCTTAATTTTCCTTTGGTTTTATTAACATGTTTGAGAATAGTTCTCATTCTCTTTTGGAGTTAGCCTACTTTTACTTCCTTGATAAACTTTCTGATGTAAATAGTTTGGCAATATCAAAGCAATAAATAGAGCATAAAAGTAAACATTTACCCTGTCTTCCCCCTTTAACATACAGATTGATAAGTTTATCATTTTGTATTTATAAAGTACTGTGTACCACCTGTGCAGAATGGTTGAGTGATGTGGAGATAAGCTCTTCCCTTTCCAGATTCATGTTGGGAGGACTTCAGCCTGGATGGCACCACCATCAAACATAAAAACCCACCCCTTTCTTCACTGTTTTAGCTGCTCACTAAGAAACTAGAGTGAAGGATGGCTAGTGTTCTGCTTTTTTACACCTCTAAATATGTGGGGCAATCTACTTCCGTAGTGATACTGCCTTGGAAACCCAAGGAGGGGTCGCTATGACTTGGGTCCGACTCGACGGCACATAACAACAATGTTATCCTTCTACTCCAGATTATCAGGCAGCCAGTTACTGTTTTTATTTTCTCTACTAACGAGTAAAGGGACGCAGGGAGAACAGGCCCTTAACATGTCTAATGTTTCCTTGAAGTTACCTATACATCTAAGAACCTATTTCCTTTAATGAGCATTTTCTGTATGCAAGAGCTTTTTTCCCTATAAAGGTAAAGAGTTTATATAATCAACATAGAACATTTTTTAGATGGTATCACATAGCTTTTAAAAGTGTATATATTTAGAAGAGGCTGTAAAACTTTTGGTGCCTATGTACATGTCTAGAATATTTTTAATGGTGGCTTTTCCTAAAGAAATGCTTCAAAGAAGAACACAGAACAAACACATGTCACAAAAGAGACAAAATGTTCTGAATACTATGGGGGAGCATAGTTTTTGTTGTATGATTTTGTTTTACTAGGATTGATTGCTGTTTTAAAACAGGAATAGAGGCCTCTCTGCATCTTAAAGGGTACCATTGATGCCATTAGTTCTTTCCTCTTAATTATTCTAGGAAAAGATGGTTGTTGCAGATACTAGGTTAATACATGTCTTAGAAAATCAAAAGGTACAATTATTAATCCAGATCAGTAGAATTATGTTCCACTTTATGTGGAACAGAAAATTGTTTATCATTCAATGTAGTAAAAATGATCAGAACTGTGAAACAGACAGACTCACAAAACAGTGAGGCAGATAGAATTAATTTTATGGAAAATTCTATTGCATATTTAGTAGTCTGTTTTAATGATTTGTGTGCGATGTGTGTTTAATGAGTCTTGCCAGTAGTTAAGGACTAAATTCTGACGTAGAAGAAAGTACTTGATTGACAGACATGAGGTCCTTGTCTTAGTGTTGGCTCTGCTGCTAACACAGTGTGACCTAGGCAGGTCGCTGGCCTCAAATGTTTTCCTTTTGAACCTTCCTTGTTGTTGTTGTTGTTATGTGCCATCGAGTCGGACCCGACTCATAGAGACAGACCCTCCTTGGGTTTCCGAGGCAGTATCACTACGGATGTAGATTGCCCAACCTTCCTTCCGAGGAGTGGCTGGTGGGTTTGAACCACCAGCCTTCTGGTTAGCAGTCAAGTGCCTTAGCCACTATGCTACCAGGGCTCCCAGAACCTTCCTTAACAGATGGTAAATACTTGCTATGGGCCAGACACTTGGGGATACAAAATACGAGAAATGATACTCCACTTGAGAATAGAGGGGAAGGATTATGATTCTTACAGTCATTTTAAGATTTCCATATTTGTGCTTGTAATGTACCATCAGCTGGTTTGTCTGTTTGAAGATTTTAAAAATTCTGTTCACTTGGCAGATGTAGATTTGACAGTAGTGTTCTGTCTTTTTAACTGAGTGGGTATGAGCACAGGATGGCCTTTCGCTTCCTGAGGCATGATCTGTACCTCAGATTGTACATATAGGAATCTTGCTTTTTACCTGCTTCAGTGAAACTAAACAGAAATTCAAATACAATGCTTATGAGGATCCTATAGCAACATTGGGTGTTTAATTTCCAAATACAGTGATAATTAGAGACTTGTCTAAAAAAAGGGGGTTTGTACTAGCTTTCTGTGCTGTTGTAATAAATAACAACAAATTTAGTGCCTTAAAACAACACCTATTCATTATTTCACAGTTTCCATGGGTCAGAAGTCCAGGCATAGCTTAGCTTAGTCCTCTGCTCATGGTCTCACAAAGCTCCAGTCAAGATGTCAGCTGGGCCATCTCATCTGAGGCTTTGATTTCTCTTCTGAGCTTACATAGTTGTTGCCAGAAATAATTTCTTTGCAGCTTTGGAACTCATAGGAACTTGTTTCTTTAAGGCCAGCAGGAGAATCTCTTGCTTTTAAACCCTCATTTAAAGGACTCACCTGATTAGGTCAGGCCCATCCAGATTAATTTCCCTTTAGATTAATTTAGAGTCCTCTCATGTAGGGACTTAAATTACATCCTCAAAATCTGTCACTTGTGTCATATTCTGCTGGTTAGAAGAAAGTTACAAGTTCTGCGTGACAGTGGGGCAAGAATCACTGTACGTGTAGTCCCCGGGTTATGAACATCTGACTTATAGGTGACTCCTGCCTGCCCTTTAATGCTATGTAAATTTGCCCTCATTTTGAAATGGTTGAACCCACCCCTACCAGCACCCTACCAGCAATAAATTCTTCATCTCTGTCACCTTTACTTGCTGCACATGCAGCTTTTAAATCACTGAAAAAGCTTCAAGCCTTTTCTTGCACCAAAATAAGGCTAAATAAGAACTGTATGCACCTCTTCTGACTGACCTACAAAATCTTAAAGACACAGTTAGGAACTACCCTCTTTTATAACCTGGGGACTGCCTATAGCCTTCTTAGCATTCTGCCTATAATGGTGTTCGCTTTTATTTATTTAAAATTTTTTTGTTATTAATTATTAGATAACCAAAAAACAAATCAGTTACCATCAAGTTGATTTCAAATCATGGCAACCCCATGTGTGTCAGAGTAGACTGTTCTATAGGGTTTTCAATGGCTGATGTTTTAGAAGTAGATCCCCAAACCTTTCTTCTAGCACACCCCTGGGTGCCAGCCTTTCAGTTAGCAGCAGAACATTTAACCATTTGTACCACCTGGGGCTGTAAATATTGGATAGTATTTTATATTTATTTATACAAAATATCCAATATTAATATAAAATAAATACAAATACATATCCAATATAAACTGCAGACCAGGAGGCTGGCAGTTCAAACCCACCAGCCACTCCTCTAAAGGAAGATTGGGCAATCTACCATAGTGATACTGCCTCAGAAACCCAAGGAGGGGTCGCTATGAGTCAGACCCAACTGTAATCCCCGGGTTATGAACTTGATGGCAGTGAATTTTTTTTTTTTTTAATCTAATAGTTATACTTTATACATGTATTTTATACCCTACATTTTATGTGTGTTTGTGGGTGTCGGTGTGTGTGTATCTGTCCCTGGCTCGAGCAAACTACAGTAAAGCACTAGACTACTAACCAAAAGGCTGGTGATTTTAACCCATCCAGAGGCCCTCAGAATAGAGGACAGGCAATCTGCTTCTGATAGGTCACATCACCCTGTGGAACACAGTTCTACTCTGAAGCACAGGGGGTTATCATGAGTCAGAATCCACTCGATGGCAGCTGGTTTTATGTATGTATATACATATATATATATATACAGATAGATGTAGATATAGATATACATACACACACACAGGTATGTATCACTTAAAGTCCACGGTACATTTTGTGAAATGGGACCTTCTGTAATTTAGACATTCTGTGAACACCATATTAAAACCTTATGGGAGCCTACTGCTGGTCATCCTCATCGCCACTGCAGCTGGAGCTGCTAACAGAGGCCAGAGGAATGGGCAGTGGCAGTGGTGGCGGCTGAGAGGGCAGCAGCGGGAGTGGAGCAAGAAGAAATGAGTGAGGAGGTGGTGGAGCGCACTCAGCCCCACACATTGTTCCACTTGACTAAGCAGCAGGAGCCACCAGGGCCCTGCAGCCACTACTACCACCAGCCAGCCAGACAAAACCCAAGAACCCATGCCCAAAGCCATGTTTTCTGCCTTACTTGCCTATATTCTACCCATGGTCCAGTGCTGCAAGAGTCTGGGTTTGGGGTCTTTAGAACCATTAGAAGAAAATAATGAATAAAAGAAGTGGCTTTCCCTACAAAAATCTTATGGGATCATGGATGTATATTACATTGGACATTCCCCAAACCAATGAGAAGTGATACATAGCTGTATTTTTATCTGTATACATATATATATAAAAAAAAAACCACTGCCATGGAGTCAATTCCATCTCATAGTGACACTCATTGGGTTTCCAAGGCAGTAAATCTTTATGGAAGTAGATTGCCCCAATCTTCTTCTGCAGAGTGGCTGGTGGTTTGAACTGCCAACCTTCAGAGTAGTAGTCAAATGCCTTAGGCACTGTGCCAGTAGAGCTTATCTGTATGTGTGTGTATGTGTGTGTGCATGCGTGTGTGTGTGTAGAGAGAAAAAAAAGCATAAAAATATATACAACAAATATATACCTAGTACCTACTTTAAGTAATAAAACATCATTACCTTTGAAATTCCTGAGTATTCCTCTATTTTATATACTTGATTCTATGCCACAAAATCCTAAATCTTATGTTTACAATTATCTTGCCTTTGTTTATAATTTTAAGATATTTTTATTGTAACTCTAAACAAAGTATTATTTATCTTTTTAAATTTTACTTGAAAAGGAATCATATTTTTTTTTATTTGCTTTGCTTTGATCATCTAAGTTATGTTCCTAAAATTCATCATCTTGTTGTATGAAGCTATATGCATTATATGAGTATACATCAATATATCTTTCCATTTAGTGTTGATGGACATTTGGGTTTGTTTATTACTGCAGACAGTACTGCTGTAAGCATTCTTATATGTATCTTTTAATATACCTGTTCAA